GAGGATCTGGCTGTGGATAAGAGAGATGGTGATGGGAAAGATGAGAGATGACGACTCGTCTTTTCAGTACACTTGAAGTCCTTACAGTACTGTGCCAGGTGACCTGGCGGCTCGAACTGGCTCTCAAGACCCTGTCAGTCATTCAACTTGATGGTGCGATGGCTCCGGCCAGACTTCTCCATGGGTATCGTGCAACCGATCTTCTTGAGCGTGAGCTGATCCCGAGGATAGTCCAAGATTGCACCAAACTGGTCCAGAAAGGATCCGGGCAGCAGAGGCGGCAGGTTCTCCTCAGTAGCTACAAACTCGATCACGCCGGACTTGCCGCCCATCGCCACTGGAATCATCACCGCCCCTAGTAGAGTCGCCTGTCCTCCGATCCCTCTCGGCGGACTGGCCGGCTTGTCCACCCAGACTGGTGACAGACCTCGAGCTCGCAGGTCCTCGGCCAGTCGGTCTGTCCTTGCCGATGATCGCCTGGGAGGCCCCGCTGTCCACGATGACCTGGCCGTCCTCGAACACGATGAAGGTGAGCACCTTGGTGTTGCTCCAGCTCGCGTCGGACTCCTCCTCGAACTGGTAGCGCAGCTCCCTCAAGGCCTTCTCGCCCAGCAGCGTGACCCAGGTGTTGGCTGGAGTCTCCTCGTTCAGCACCGAACGAGAAGCCGCTGCCGTCGTGCGAGAACGCGGTGCCGCCCGAGCCTGAGCCACCCTTGGAGCCGCCCTTGGCACCACGCTGACGGGTGTCTTTCTGCTTCGCAGGGCTCTTTCACTCAGCATGCCAGTGTCCGGTCTCGCCACAGTTGCCGCATTTCGTGACCAGCTTCAGTTGAGCTGGAGTGAGTCGACGCCGTCGCTTCCAGAATCCTCGATCCTTCTGCACGGCGTTCTTCAGGTCCTTGTTCTCCTTCCAGGTCTTCTGTCGGCCCTTGCCCATCTGCGCTAACGTCTCCGTCACCTCGTCCTCGCACAGCTCCCGGCCACTGAGCTCCACGAGGAGGTTGAGTTCGTCGTCGGTGTCCAGATCGTCAGCCCACCACGACCATGCCTGCTCTGTCTGATCGGCGATGCCACCCGTGGGCTCGCTGCTGGACCTGGCGTCGCTGTCCTCGAGCAGCGTGGCGTGAGACTTGCTGTCGTCTCCCCAGGTCAGACCGACAGTGTCGAGCCGCGAGAGAGCCCACATGATATCTGGTCCCAGCAGTGATCCCCGAGTGAGGCTCCGAACGTTCTGCTTGCCCTGAGCTGAGAGCCGAGCGCCCTGCAGGAGGAGCATGCCCTGCACCTTGGGCGGTATCTCCATGCCAATCTCCTTGGCCCTCTCGAGCTGTCTACGTCGTCGGGTGACGAAGGCCAGGAGATCCTCATCCTTCTTCCTCTCAATGTCCTTGGTGGCGTCATTGCCGGCCTTGAACACTTCATCGTCCTCTCTCTCTCTCTCCTGCTTCTTGCCCGAGGTGATGCACAATCTTCTCAACAGAGAGGTCCTGCTCTGGAATGTACTGCAGCTTGGCTCTCAAGTCCCACGGCAACTCTTCCAGTAGTCGGTCGGTGCACTGGGCCTCTGAGAGCCAGGAGTTGCGGCGCCACCTCAGAACATACTGTTTCCACAACCTGAACTTGTCTCAGCCTGGCCAGGAAGGTGCAGGTCTGGTATGCTGACGCTCGTTCCAGTGGTTGCTCCAGTCCCAGCTGACAGAATGCCACGTGCTGCCCTGCCACCGTTTCCAGGGCTCGGACTTCCACTGGTCTGTGGTGGGAGGTACTTCACACTGGCCGACTGCCGTAGTCGTCCTCATCGATGGTGGTACGTTATCCTCGGCCACGGTGACCTCCGTCGTCAAGGTCGGCGGTCGAACCCAGGGAGCCTCTTCCCAGCCCCACGAGCCCCAAGCGGACGCCCAGTAGTCGTCGCCCTTCTGCTCGTCCGCGCCCCTCTCGTACCACGTGTACGTCGGCGCGGGCGGCTCAGTCTTCTGCTCTTGGATGTCGGGTGCGGCTTGCTCTGGTGGAGGACATCCTGGCGTGGCCCCTGCTCCTGCTGCTGCCGCTGCCGCCTCGGCGGAGGGTCGCAGCAGCTCGGCCACTCTGCCTGCTATGAGATCTAGATCTTCTCTCACAAGCCTCTCTGTCATGCTCCGAAGCTATCAGTGTCTATCTTCGCACCCTCGTCGTCCGTCCAGCCCCCAGGTCCGTGGATCGATGGGCCCGCTAGCTGCTCAGGGCGTCACCTGGTGTCGCCGCAGCCTGCGGCCCGGAACCCCTCTCCGCTGCCACTGTTGGCACGCGGGGGTCGGGCGGACAATCGCGAAGCTCTGCACTGTACGCTTTTCCCGCACAAACAGTATGACTTGAGCCATCACGGTTGCAGTGATGGCACGCACAACAAGACAGACATGAGAGAAACAGACGGGCACACAGGCAGGTAGAAAGGGCATGGATGGAAGGTAGGTGAAGAGCATGAGCTGGAGCGTGTGCCAACAGCGGTGACGTCGGCGTTAAGAAAATCGGGCTCGACATCGAGCCGCATCGCCGATGCGTCGGCGATGCGGCGCGATCCTCCGACCCCATCTACTCGGACCCCATCTGGGAGGCCTACCCTGGGTTTCTTAATAAGCGTGGGGGGTACCCCCCCAACGGGGGTCAACCTCGCCTCGTCGTCGCGCCGCGACGGGGGACGGAGCGCCCTCGGCGCGCGGTGGCCCCGCGACGGGGGTCGATGCGGGGCTGTCGGCGGGGGTGACGCCCCCCATACGCTTATTGAGAAACTCGGAATAGGGAGGGGCCGGAGTGAGCCATTTCGACCAAGGGCCGCCGGCCAGTTTCGCAGGGACCTCCCCATTCCAAGCGGGCCGGACGGGCCCGGGGGGTGGGGGGAGGAGGAGGAGGAGGAGGAGGAGGAGGAGGAGGAGGAGGAGGAGGAGGAGGAGGAGGAGGAGGAGAAGCAGGAGGAGGAGGAGGGGCAGCAGGTTCACTCGCCGTAGACCCCAAGGGGCCCCCCGACACTTATTGGAGAGGCCTGACGGCCGGTGCCGCCGACCCTGATTGAAAGGGCTAGGAGTGGGGGGAGGAAGCGGAGGATGAGGAGGATGAGGAGGAGGAGGAAGAGGAGGAGGAGGAGGAGGAGAAGGAGTAGGAGGAGGAGGAGGAGGAAGAGGAGAGAGGAGAAGCAGGAGGAGGAGGAGGAGGAGGAGGAGGAGGAGGAGGAGGAGCAGGAGAGGAGGATAAGGAGGAGGAGGAGGGGGAGGAGGAGGGGGAAGGGAGGAGGAGGAGAGGAGGAGGAGGAGGAGGAGGAGGAAGTGCATCCTTTGTGTGCCCGCTCGAAGAAAGTGCGCCCCGGGAGTGTGATATTCTGACTTGGGACGTGCTCCCGGAAGAGGAAGAAGTGCATCTCGGGCGTGCCCGCTCGAGGAAAATGCGCCCTAGGGGGGTGGTATTTTGACTCGGGGCCCGCTCCCGGGACGCCTCTGCGGGAGGAGGAGGAGGAGGAGGAGGGAGGAGGAGGAGGAGGAGGAGGAGGAGGAGGAGAAGGAGGAGAGGAGCAGGAGGAGGAGGAGGAGGAGGAGGAGGAGGAGGAGGAGGACAAGGAGGAGGAGGAGGAGGAGGAAGTGCATCCCGTGCGTGCCCGCTCGAGGAAAGTGCGCCCCGGCGGGCGTCGTATCTGCCCCGGGCCCCCCCCCTCCCCCCCCTGCGGGGAAGGGATCAAAGGGAAGGGGCTTCCCTTCGACTCCACTACGACGTCGTTTAATTTCGCTTTGGATAGCGCGCTTGAGGAGGAGAGCCCTGGGAGGGGGAGAACGGAGACGACGGAGACGACGAGTCGAACGGAGAAGCCCCTCACGCACGCCGACAGGGTCGGCGGATTAAGCAACTCGGAGTAGACTGGCGCGACGCGGGAGGAGCTGCCCCTCCCTGCGCCGCTGGAGCGAGCGGAGGCCCCAGGCGGCGCCCGCTCGCGGCCCCTCCGGGAGTCTGGCGGGCGCGCCGTCCGATCGCGGCAGCGCCAGTCGCCCGAGACGTCCTTTGAGAACGGCTTCCGGGCGGCGTCGTCGTCGTCGTCGTCGGCGTCGCCGTCGGCGTCGGCGTCGGCGTCGGCGTCGGCGTCGGCGTCGGCGTCGGCGTCGGCGTCGGCGTCGGCGTCGGCGTCGGCGTCGGCGTCGGCGTCGGCGTCGGCGTCGTCGTCGTCGTCGTCGTCGTCGTCGTCGTCGTCGTCGTCGTCGACGAGGACGCAGACGCGGGGCGCGCGACTCTCCAGGAGCGGGTCGGGGGGCGGCAGCGGGCCAGGCTGGCGCTGGGCGCGGAGTCTCCACCCGGGGTCGCGCCCGTGCCCGTGGACGGCGAGGAGGCCGTCGGAGAGCCACCTGGGGTGAACATCCGGTCAGCGGGGTGGGGCCAGATCTGTTCCAGAGCTGGAGATGCTGCCCCCCAGGAGGGCTAATTGCCCAACTCGCGCGACCCAGAGGCACGCGCCTGGAGCAGGAGTCGCGCAGCGGAAATGGTCAGCGAGGCGGGGTCGGCATCATCGAGGACCACGCCCCTGTATCCCGCTCTTCTTTCCGCCCGCTCCCCCTCCTCCCTCCTCCCTCCTCCTCCTCCTGCTCCTCCTCCTCCTCCTCCTCGTCCTCCTCGTCCTCCTCGTCCTCCTCGTCCTCCTCGTCCTCCTGCTCCTCCCCCTCCTCCCCCTCCCTCCTCCCCCTCCCTCCTTTCCTCCTCCCTCTCCTCCTACAGGGGGCGGGAGGGGGGACCAAAGCACCAGAGAGGCGCGACGTGGTGCGGAAAGGGCGGGGGCTGCGCAAGCAGCACAAGCAGCCCCCCAGAGGCACAGTCCGCGTTGGCCTCAGCAGGCCCTCCAGGTGGTCCATGGCGCTTTGGGGCCAGCTTGGACTACCTCCGCGGGCTGTTTGCACGAACTGCCACAGAGGTTCGGCAACGAGGAGGAGGAGGAGGAGGCGGAGGAGGAGGAGGAGGAGGAGGAGGAGGAGGAGGAGGAGGAGGACAACGAGGGGCGGACGGCGGCAGGGATCCGCATCGACGGAAACGGCACGAGAGGAGCGGCGCAGGTCTGGCGCTTCTGCTGCTTTTTGCTGCGGGGTGCAGACGCACCCGCGCCTCGGCTGCTGGCCACAGGGCGCCACGCTGAGACTCCTCGAGCTGTGCATTACCGCCTTCTTGCGGCACGCACAGCAGGCGCGAGGGCTTTGGCCTCGGCAGCCGGAGCGGGCGCCCGAGGGCCCTGCGTCGGGAGCGCAAGGCACACGGGCAGATCGAGGCAGAAAATCGCTCACAAGTTGGCACGAGCACACCTGGCTTGTCGAATCCGTCACGGCTGTGGTGGTGCATTCTGTCAGCACGTGGGGCTCAAGCGCTGGCAACTTGGCACTGAAAACTTGCAGGACATCAGGAAGCCTGGTAAAAGGCATTCGGAGCAGAAAGCCACTGTCCACCGCCGCCTCGCCTCGAAACCGAGGGCACCCAGCCACGCTCCAGCGCCGGGAGAAGGCGAGGACGAGGGGGAGTTACCACTCTTGCCGAGGACGAGGGCGACGAGGCTATGCATGCAAGGAAATGCTTGCAAGTAACAACAACCTGCTATACCAAACTATGTCTTAAAGTAGCTTTGGCCATTCACGGAAATTGCACCTTAAAGCCTCAAAGTGCTGAGGCAGGCCACGCAGATACGAATCATGCGCCAAGCTAAAGCAATGTTGACCAGCATTCGTGATCCTCCTGATCTTCCTCCTGATGTTCGGAGGCAACTACTGGGAGGTTCTCGTCGGAAGGATTAAGGAGGATTAAGCCCCATTGGGGGGCTGTTGCGCCAGAGTGGGCCTCGGATCAAGCGGGATTAAGCGGGATTAAGTGGGATTATGCCGGATTAAGCGAGATTAAGCGGGATTAAGCCGGATTAGGCGGGGTTTCGGATCAGGGCTAAATCAGAGTTTGACCATTTGACCTCCCAGGAGTGGTATCCGAACTGATGTTCCTCCTCCTCCTCCGCCTTCCCCAGATGCTGTGCTCGCTCCCAGGAGGGGGAGGTGGAGGAGGCTGCGACGACCGATCCCTCCTCCTACCCGTAAGTCGGGCTTGTCCCCCTCCAGGGGATCTGGGGCGAAACATTAAACAGATCCCCCAACCTACTCCCCAAATGCCCCAAAGTCCGCCGACACTGCCGGCGTGTGGAATGGGTTGTTCTTCTCGTCCGTGTCTCCTTCCCTTTCCCACCTTCTCCGTCTCCTTCTCGTTCGTCTCCCCTCCTCCTCCTCCTCCTCCTCCTCCTCCTCCTCCTCCTCCTCCTCCTCCCTCCTCCCATCTCTTCCTCCTGCGTAAAGTAAATTGACTCGAAGGGTTTCCCCTTCCCTTTGTTCCCTTCCCCTGCCGGGGGCGGGGGATGTCCCAGGGGGGGTCCCGGGGGGGTCCAGGGTCAGAATACCACCTCCCTCCTCCTTGGGGGTCCTGGGGGAACCCCAGTGGGGGTCCTGGGGAGGGTCCCAGGGGTGGTCCTGTCCTCCTCCTCCTCCTGAGCGTCTTTTGCCACCTTCTCCATCTCCCTTTCGTTTGTCTCCTCCTCCTCCTCCTCACACACTTCCTCCGCCTACCCTGTCAGGTTGTCCTCTAGCTCCTTCCTGGGATCGCACATCCCGTCGCCATCGACGGCCAATACCTTCAGGGTCGGCGGCACCAGCCGTAAGGCCTTCACAACATAGTCCACAAATAGTTCCCAGGCCATTTCCTCAATATTTTGGACGGAATGTTCCCCCTGTGGAGGGACGGGTCCGACTGAATCCTGCCCCCTTTCCTCGAACCCCGCCCGCCGCCCCTCCTCCCTCCTCCCACTGCGCACGGCACGCGATGCACGGAGCGCGTGCCGCGCGCAGTGGCCTCCCCGTGGCACCGCACCCATCACCGCACAGCGCCGGAGCCTCTCCGCTCCAAGGGCAAGCAGCATCGGCACCGAGTGCGGACGACCGCCGCCAGGCGCAGCCCGCAGCCTCAGGCGCAGAGCTGCTTCCAGAGGGCGAGGGCCTCGTCCATCTGCTCCTGGGTGATGTCGTTGAAGAGGCGCGCGACGCCATGGCCAGTGGGGAGCGGGATCTTCTGGCCCTGCGAGAACTTGATCCGCTCCTTGAGCGAGAAGGCCACCTGCGCGGAGTCCATCCTCTCGTGGTAGACGGGCAGCTTGAGGCCGCGCGCCGTCGCGATGATGGACTCGAGGTACGGCATGCTGATGTGGCCGCGCACGTGGGCGAGGACAGACGAGAAGATCATGTCGATCGCGACGGCCTCACCGTGAAAAAGCTTCTCGTCGTGCAGCACCGACATCTCGAGCTCCATCGAGAAGACGTGCCCAAAGTCGACGAGCCGCTCCAGGGAGTCCTCCCATAGGTTGGGCGCGAGCTCCTCGAGCATCGTCTGGATGGCGAGATTGAGCACGCGAGCGGAGGCGACGGAGCCGCCTGCGTCGGCGTCCTGGAACTTGCCGTCGATCAGCTCCTCGCCGTGGTTGGCGAGCAGCTCGTACAGTTCGCCGTCCTTGACAAGCCCCATTTTGAGGATCTCGGCGGCACCGTTGGAGAGCTGACGCTGGTCGAGGGAGCCGAGGAAGGAGCGGTCGAGCAGCGTAAGCGCCGGCGGCAGGTAGGCACCGAGCTTGTTCTTGTGGCCAGCGAAGTTGACGCCAGTCTTCGCACCGATGCTCGCGTCGACGTACCCCATCACCGTCGTCGGCACGCGAATGTACGGCGTGCGACGGCGGTAGATGGAGGCAGCGAAGCCGACGATGTCCATGCACACGCCTCCTCCGATGGCGATAACGGGGTCGAGGCGGCGGTCGATGCCGAGGTCGTGGATGGATTCGGCGATCTTGAGCACCATGTCCATGTTCTTGTGCTCCTCGTTCGTCGGCAGCACGAGCAGCCGGTGCTCGACATTGTGGTGCTCGAGGTAAGCCTTGATCTTGTCGCCGTAGATCGCGAAGACGTTGTCATCGACGACGACGACGCGCTTGACGGCGCGCGACAGAGCGCGGGAGAGCATCTCGACATTGCCGTCGAGGAAGCCAAATAGGAGGTCGGTACTCGACGGATCGAGAATGTCGACGCTCTCGCGCACCTTGTAGCTAAATGTGATCGGCGACTCGACCGTCCACTCGGTTGAGGCGCCGTGCTGCTGCTGCAAGAGCTGCGCGTTCGAGACGACGGTCGCGCCATCCACGTCGTCGCTGATGCGCCAGGCGTCCTCGTCGGCTGGCTTGTGAAGCTGCCTCTGGGGCTGCTCGATCACATGGGAAGGTGTCGACTTCTTGAGCTCCCGCACGGCCGACCGCGGGATGTGCGTCAAGCGCGGGCCGGCGTTGCGCTCCGCGGCAGTGCGGTCCGCTACAGCCCGCGAAGGTGCCGCCACTGTGGACGCAGAGGGGGCGAAGGCAGAACCTGCACCGCCACGGGAGGCAAGACGGCAAGCACTCGCGGCCAAGATCAGGGCGAAAGCTTTACTGAGAGGCTTGCGCTGCGCTGGCATGTCTAGAGTTGAGGGGAGGCTGCGGACGCTGGCGAGATGGCTTCGGAAGATGCTGATCCTCTGATCCGAAGAAGTGCTGCCTTGGGCCAACATGGCTGGGGATGCGACTTGCCTTCGCACCGCTTCGTTCAAGTTAACTTGGGCTGTGGAACTGGCCAAGCTTGTCTTAGTGCTGGCATGAATGTATCTCAGTGTGCCTTTGCCACGGCGTTGCTTCCTGTTCTACAACAGGGATGGGAGCACTAAAGGCAAAGGATGAGGAGAAGAACAAGGCGGCAAGGCTAGCAGAGGAACGGGATGTAAGTGGTCGACGAGGAGGAACGTGAAAAGAGAAACACGAGTGAGGAGGGGAGAGGCGAGAGAGGAGATACAAGCGACAGCCAACAACGAGGGCAAGAGAGATGAGCCAGGAGAGGGACGCCGATGGACAGACAATACTACAGGATTGGATGGCACAGATCGGCGCCAGAGACGCCGCGTGCCCGTGTTTGGGGGCATGCCCGATGAAAACAACACGCGAGCAAGGTGAAGGGACAGACCGCAAGAGGGAGAGGCCACACGAGAGATTTGAGAAGAGAAGACACATGATAAAGGGCCCGTTGCGAACCCCTTCAGGACGGCCCAGAAGCGCGAGATTCCATCATACCCTTCGCGTTCTTCGTGGCCCATGGACCCCCAGAGGTCCTCCGCTGCCCCTGCAGTCGGCGGAATAGATCTTCATCTCGGCACGCCCCTGAGGTGCTCCGTGCCCCAGAAATGGATCCCCACTTCGGCAGACCACTCGTGCACTTTGAGCACCAGTGGACCCCAGTGCCGAGGGGCCCTCAGCCAGCCCCTCAAGACGGCTCAAGGGAGCCTCACTTCGGCATACCCCTCACGCATGTCGTGGCCAAGGGGCTACCAGGGTTTCCGCGCGCCCGCGCCCGCACCCGCCCGGGGGGCGGAGACGACGACGCCGAAGGCGACGACGACGACGACGACGACCGCAGCGGCGACGCCGACGGCGACGAGGAGGGAAGAGGAAGGGCGGGCGGAGGAGGAGAGGGGGGAGGAAGGAAAAGGGGAGGGAGTTTGGACGGGGAGGGCCGCGAGCGGTCAGAGCGTCCAAGGTGGTCCAAGATGGCTCCAGGATGGCCCCGTCGAGCACGGCATCGTTCCCGCCATCGGGGCCGATCGAAGGGGTTCAGCGATGGCGACGAGGACGACGATGAGATTGGCTGCGGTGGTAGAACATGCCGGACATCAGCATTCTAGTGTTGGGCTGGACATGGCAAGGCACCGGGAGCCTGGAGAATGGCACCAGCACCAGCACAAGAGTTTGCCAACACCGCGTCCTCCTCCTCCTCCTCCTCCTCCTCCCTCCTCCTCCCTCCCCCTCCTCCTCCCCCTCCTCGGAAAAAAGATCCTTGCCCTGGGTGCCGGGGGCAACTTCTCGGGCACCCGAGACGCCCGGACACCACCACCATCACCGAAATCTGACACTCCTTCCCACGGCTTGAGCAGGGACCGACGGTCCCGGCATTCCTATAGGCCTACCACGACATGCTCTTAGAACTCCGAAGAATGTTCTCGGAACAAAAACAATGTTCTTAGAACGTAAGCCCGATTTGTTAAAACAGGACCGTCCCAGCCAGAAACGTTCTAAGAACATGCCGTGGAAGCCACAAGAGGCTCTTAGGACATTGTTTGGTAGGCCGATGGGCACGCCAAGATGCTTCGCCACTCCTGGAACGGTGTCGGCGATCTTCTGACCTGGGTCAATCCAGACCCGGGTCAGCAGGAAACGAAGAACTGCAATGCAAGAAAAAAACTGCAACGCAGGTCTTCGCAAACCCGGGTCAGCCAATAGGCGCGGCCGCATCGCGGCCACGAGCGGCTCGCTAGCCCGGGTCAGCCAGAGGGGGTCTTCGCAGGATCCGGCAGGATCCGGCGCTCTGGCTGACCCCCGTCTGCATTGACCCCCGTCTCAAGGCTCCCGACGGTGGGGGCAACCGCCGGTGCCGGTGCCGGTGCCAACCTCTGGGCCCCCGAAAGCAAAGCGCGCCGAGGCCTCGCGCAGGCCCGCCGGCTACTCGTAGCTCGCCCCGCTGAGCACGGCCTTCGCCCGGCCCAGCGCCTCGATCTCCCCGCCGCGCGCGTCCTGCCGCACCGTGAAGTCCGCCGCCGTGCCCTGCGCACGCGGAGGCGTGGAGTGATGCCGAGGGCTGTCTGGTAGGGCCTCTGGATTCCATCTTGAGCCGTCTTGGAAAGTTTTGGGGGGAATTGAGCTCCTGGAAGATCCTCCCGGGACCCCGGCGGGACGGGCCGAAGCGCCAGGGGGAGGTTCTTTGGGAAAAAGAGCCAAAGCCAGAACCGAAAGGATCCAGCACGCCAGGCACCCCTGCGATGAATCGACAGGGGGCGGCGGATTCGAACAAGGGGCTCCCCCTCTCCCACACCAGGGGCGCGTCCATCTTGCGTGCATCGCCCCTCCCTCCTGGGGCCACGATCCCTCGCAGAAGACGACGGAGCCGCGCGCCCGAGGAGGCCACGATCCCGCGTTGAAGCTATGGATCTGCGCTCCAAGCTCCCGAGACGGCCCATGCAGGCAACCAAGGGGCACCAAAGATGGCCCAAGATGCCCCGAAGACGGCCCACGGTGTCCCCAAGGCGGCCCAATATGGCCTCAGGGCGGCCCAAGATGCCTCCAAGGGCCCCAATGGGCCGAAAGAGAACCGCCAACAAGGTCCGAATAGGCCGAAATCAATGCGTTCCCCATGGCGTTTGAATGAGTTTTGCATTCTCGCCTTTTCGGGCTTCCGTCGGCTCAGGACGGCCCAAGAAGCCTCCTCCACACTGGCCCCAAGAAGGCCCAGGAGGCCCCTAAGAGGGTCCCAAGATGGCCCACGGGTCCGACAATGGCCCAAGAAGCATCGAAGACGGCCCCAAGACGGGCCAAGAGAGCCTCCCATGGGACACACTACGGCCTCAGAGGAGCTCGGACGGCCCAAGACGGCCCTACGACGTTCCCCAAAGAGCCACTAGATGGCCACGAGGGCCCCAAGACGGCCCAAGGGAGCCGCAAAAGGGGACAGAGGGCCCCAAGGCGGCCCCGAGGCGGCCCCGCGTGGCCCGCAAGACTGCCGCACAGGAGGCCAAGGCAGCCCCCAGACGGCCCCGACGAGTTCCGTGAGAGCTCTTCAAAGAGTGGGGACGACAGGTGTCACACGTGACGGCCTTCCAATTCCCCCTCCTGCTTCCCCCTGCTCCTGCTCCTCCTTATCCTCCTACACCTCCTCCTCCTCCTCCTCCTCCTCACCCTGCTCCTCGTCCTCCTCCTCCTCCTCCTCCTCCTCCTCCTCATTATCATCATCATCATCACCATCATCATCATCATCACCACCACCACCACCACCACCACCACCATCATCATCATCATCATCCTCATCATCATCATCATCATCACCACCACCATCATCACCATCGTCATCATCAGCATCAGCATCAGCATCAGCATCAGCATCAGCATCATCATCGTCATCATCATCATTATAATCATCATCAGCATCAACATCAACACCATCAGCATCATCACCACCACCACCACCATCATCATCATCATCATCATCATCATCATCATCATCATCATCATCATCTTCATCATCATGATTAGCATCATCATCACCAGCATCAGCATCAGCATCATAATCACCACCACCACCATCACCATCACCATCACCATCACCATCACCATCACCATCATCATCATCATCATCATCATCATCATCATCATAATCATAATCATCATGATCGTCATCAGCAGCATCAGCATCATCGTCGTCGTCGTCATCGTCGTCGTCGTCATCAACATTTCATTCGCAAAAATCCTCCTCATTTTTCGCCTCGTCCTCGTCCTCCTCATCCTCATCATCAACACAACTACCACCACCATCATCATCAACATCATCATCATCATCAACATCATCATCATCATCATCATCATCATCATCATCATCAACAGCATCACGGCTCTCACAAACCTGGAGGCGTGCCACCGCGAATCGTCGCCACCCAGAATGCTAAATTGGTACGGCGGGGGGACCTGCCGCAAGCAGCCGGATACTTCAGGAGCCAGTCGCAATCCGCGTGGAGGCCGCTCAAGAACTTGTCTGTGGCCATCAGCTCCGCTGCCGTAGACTTCTTGGTGGCCTTCAGCTCCTCCAAATCGGCGGTGTTGTCGGCCTTGGCCGCGCTCTTGTCCTTCAGCGACTTGGACAGCCCCACGCGCTCGGCTTTCGCATCGGCCACAGTCTTGTCGTACTCCTCCTGCGAGTTCTTCTCCTCGGTTGCAGCCTCGGTGAGCTCGGTGTCGAGATCCTTCACCAACAGATCGAGCATGGCGATGACTCCGCTGCTCTCTTCCGTCTTGGTGGCGTACGCACCCCACGTCTCTGGCGGCGGCTCCACACGGCTCTTGCGCTGCACATGCTCCGATACCTGCACGAACGACATGTCCCTCTCGATTGCGCCCTGCTCTGAGAGCTCCACCTTGGCCGGAGGGTTATACAACTTGGGGTTATCCGCCAGTCCATTGCGGAGCACACCATGCTGCGAGGCGCGGGGCTAATATCATCTAGCATATGCGTTTGAACGTTTCCCGCCCTGCTTCTTGTCAACAAGGAGGTACGATGTGCTTCTGCTCATGCGAATGAATCACCATGCAATTCTGAAAGCGCGCCCCTTGCGTGGGCATGCAACTCAACAACAAGAGGGAAAAGCAGGCACATGAGCAAAAACTCTTTGTTTCCACAACAAGGAAAAAAGCAAGGACATTTTCCTCAGGCCCCCAATTTTACATAATTGCCGCCTGCTTCTCACGACGGTGCCAAGATGGAAGGATGCCTTCAATATGCTCCCAAGACAGCTCCCGAATTCACAAAGCGCAGAAGGTATTTCAGCAAAAGAGTCGGGAGCTCGTATGAGAAGCGCCCGAGGGAAGTTGCGTCATGAGCCGCAAGTTCGACGTTGATCTAACTGAGAAGGAGACATGGGAGAATGGAGTGCGCAAGCAGTGTTGGAGCTAGGTCGCTCCCAGGTGCTAGACTGGGGAGGGCGGAAACCATTGCAAGCGTTTGTAAGTGTTTGTGACCGGAGCAGTTGCAGTAGTATGGTTTGTGGCTGAAGCGGCTGCAGTGCACTGGTTTGCCGCTCGCTGGTTTCACTGCGGCGCCATCGTTTGTGCAATGCGTGTGCCTGGGGGCACGACGTTACCACATCAGAAACGATTGCGCTCCTCAGGGTGGCCGCTCCGCGAAACACTCAACAGATGGCGCAATCCTCTGTGTGCAGTGGTTTGGCTGGTCGTCTCCCGAGATTGCGAGCATCTGCCCGGTCCAGCGTTGCAGCTTCGCCGTCCGCCCGATGTGCCAAACGCAAGTCTGCAGTCTTGCCGGCGTGGAGACAGACACGCGGCACCTGTAATCGAAGTCCGTGTCGTGCGAACGCGTGCGTTCCATCCTTGCGAGTTGGCAAATCATTGACTCCGCGCATTCGCCTACAACCCCTGCGGCCGCAGAAGCACCGTGCCGTGTCTCGAGCGGTGGCGATGCCATCAGGCCGGCTAGGAATATTTGCGCGAAGGGCAGCGAAAATCAGTGCACTTCTGGGCCCCCCCAATGCGCGCCCGACCCGTTTGCGAAAAACCATTCAGCGAAGCCTTGAAGCTGCATCGCCCAAAATGACTTTCGAGACGCTTTCCAGCTTTCTCGAGATATCCTCTTCTAAGTTCTCCTGGGGGGGGGGCAAGGGCGAAGCCCTTTGGATAAAATTTGTTCAGTCTGTTCTTCGCAAACAGCAGGAGCTCTTTCGCAGCGGAATCGGACTGCACCAACGTCTTGTAGTCCTCGTTTTCAGCCTTTCGGATGGCTGTTGCCTCGCTCACGGATGCATCAAGTGCCTTGATGCTCTTCTCGGCCTCTGCAATCTCCTCCGCGAGTGCTGCAATGTTCTCCTCTGCGCTGGCAATGGCGGCCTCCGTGTCCGATGCGGCACGCTCGAGCCCCTTCTTCTTGTCCTCGGTGGCATCGAAGGTGGACAGGCAGTACTCCTTTTTGTCGGCGTCGTCCAGCCCCTCTTTCTTCAAGGCTACTACCTCGGGGATGGACAGACCCCCCTTTAGTAAAACGTGGTTTGTGAAAACAACTTGAGGCCCAAACCTGGCGGGCGGAAGCCTGGAAAACAACGGCCACGGCGCCCTCTCGAGAACCGAAGACGGACAATTCACTAATCAACGTGCCACTGTTGGGGGTTCTGTCCACCCCCGACTACCATCTCATCAATCATGGAGATGACCTTCTCGAAGCCGACCTTCTTTCCTGAAGGGGCCCCAGGGCACAGAAATAAATACACGCAAATAAAAATATTCCCCATATCTTGAGTTTATGTCTTCCCCCCCACTTCCCACATTTTCCCATATTTTCGGGGGAATCGAGGATTCATTGTGTCTGTGTGTTTTTTCCGCTCCCGATTTCCGCGCAGGGCCAGCACCAGGAAGCCCAGGCGGGCCTGCCCGGGCCCCGCCCGGCGCGCCCGCTGCAGGAGGGCGACGGCGCGCGCCCGCACCTCGCCGCCCCGCACCTCCACCTGCAGCAGGCTGGCGCTGGGGGCGGGCAGCGTCTTCTTCCGCCGGCCCCCGCGCTCGGGGGGAAGCCTCTTTTTTGCTCCCTGTCTCTCGCGCTCTCTCTCTCTCTCTCTGTCTCTCTCTCTCTCTCTCTCTCCCTCTCTCTCTCTCTCTCTCTCTCTCTCTCTCTTAGCAGAAGCAGGCAGCAACAGGAGAAGCAGACGATCGCGCAGAAGCAGGACCCCCGCACTCGGGGAAGCGGCGCCGAGAGATCGGCCCGCGACGCCCAAGACGGCCTCTCAGAATGGCCTCAAGTCGGGCCTGTCCCTGTACAGGGGGAATGTTCAAACATAGTCCAAAAATAACATGGGCACGATTTTTTGATCATTTTTTGCCAATTTGGGGGCATTTTTTCTTATATATATATATATATATATAATTTTTCGTCCAAAATCCCCCTGTAGGGGGACAGGCCCGACTTAAGGATGGCCCAGGAGGCCTCCCCAACAGGGCCCCCCCAGAGGCACAACTCGTTGACGGTTCGAACGGCTTTTGAACAAGAGCTCCCACCTTCGCGCTTCGCGCTGCGCGGAGCGCGAAGTGCAAACAACTTCGCGCTCTTGCGCCGACCCCCCAAAGGGAGAAAAGGAGGACGATGGAGGAGGAGGGGGAGAAGGACCGAGGACCGCGAAGCGCGAATAGCTTCGCGCCCTCGTGGGAGCCCTTGTTGAAGGATTTGGGGAGGCATCCGTGCACCACCGCCACCGGCAGCGCGCTTGGCCAGGGCCATCCTGGGCCCCGGCAGGATGCACGCGCCCTGTGCACCACCACCACTGGATGTGCCTGCTTTCCACCACCGCCACCAGAATCTGGAGGAAGAGGAGGAGGAAGAGGAGGAGGAGGAGGAAGAGGAGGAGGAGGAGGAGGAGGAGGAGGAGGAGGAGGAGGAGGAACCCCTCCCCCTCCTACTAGTGGTGGTGGCGGCGGGACACGAGCCCACCACCATCAGCAACGTGCCCGGCCAGGGCCCTGCCGGGGCCCCGGCAGGACGCGCGCGCCCTCCTGGGCCGAGGACAGCAGGGACTGTCCGCGCCACCCCGGGGCCGCGGGGTGGCCGTGTCGGGGATCTTCTGACCCGGGTCAATCCAAACCCGGGTCCGCAGGAAACCAAAAACTGCAATGCAAGGGAAAAAACTGCAACGCAGGTCTCCGCAAACCCGGGTCAGCCAGAGGGGGTCTTCGCAGGACCCTGCAGGATCCGGCGCCCTGGCTGACCTCCGTCTGCACTGACCCCCGTCTCAAGGCTCCCGACCCTGGCCAAGCACGGTGGTGCCGGTGGTGGTGTACAGGTTCTCTCTGCGGGAACAAAGCGCGTGCGATGCGCGGTTGCTTCCGTCTTCGGTGGCGAACGAGGGGGGGAAATGAGAAGGAGAAGGCTTGCCCTCCGAGAAGTTGTTTGCGTCTTCGGGGAAGGCTTAAGAACAACTTTTCAAAAGGCTTGGGGGCTTCCGAGCCTTCCCGGAAGGCCCGCCCCTTCTCATTTCCCTCCTCGCTCGTCGTCGACCCTTGCCTCCATTCCCCCGGTGCAACACGCATCACGCGTTTCGCAAGTTAGCGAGTTTTGATGCGATCCACGTCCGCTGCCGTGCTCAAGAGGGCCCCTCCAGAGCCTTGACAGAAACCCACGCAGGCCCGCACTGGCCGCGCCGTCGTCGTTGTCAACATCGTCACCAGCATCGCTGCTATCATCCTCGTGTCAACCGTTGTCGACGTTGCCATGATACCGCGCCGCCCGCCCAAGTTGCCGACTCGCACTGAAGTGCCCGCAAGGACCTGGAGGCCTCTCGGGGGCCTCGTGGGGCCTCCTGCTCCCGCTCTCGGGCCCATCTTAGGTCTGTCCTGGGGCGTTCTTGGCCCGTCTTGGGCGCCTCTTGGGCAGTCTTGAGGCTCTCTGAGACCGTCTTGGGCTCTGTTGGGGGCCTCTTCGGCCGCCTTGGGGCGGTCTTGTGGGCCTCTTCGGCTGTCTTGGAGCATTGGAAGCTTGAAAACGAGATTGCCAAGCATCTAGAACAAAAAACAATGAACATCAACGATGTTGGCCTCCTCGGGCCCTGTCGGGACGCCACTCGGAGGTCTCTTAGGCTATTCTTGGGGCCTCGTGGAGCTTTTGTTGGGACTCTCAAGGGTCTGGGGCTTGTTGGGGGCCTCTGGGGGGTCCTGGAAGCTGCTTGGGCGCCTCTCGGGCAGTCGTGGGACTCTCTGGGGCCGCCTCGGGGCGGTCTTGGGGGCCTCTTCGGCCTCCTTGGGGCGGTCTTGTGGGCCTCTTCGGTGTCATGGAGCGTTGAAGCTCGAACACGTGAGAAAGCCAAACGCCTCGAAAGAACCAGTGTAAATCAACGATTTTGGCCTCTTCGGGCTCTCTTGGGATGGCTCTCGGAGCTCTCTTGGGCTGTTCTTTGAGCCTCGGGGGGCTTTTTGGGGGTGCCTCTCGGGAATGTGTGGCTTGTTGGGGGCCTCTATGGGGGGCCCTGGAAGCTTCTCGGGGCTTCTTCTGGGGCGCTCTTGGCCCGTCTTGGGCGCCTCTTGGGCAGTGTTGAGCGCTCTCTTAGGGGGCCTCTTCGGCCGTCTCGGGGCGGTCTTGGGTGCCTCTTCGGCTGTCTTGGAGCGTTGGAAGCTTGGAAACGCGAGATGGCCAAACGCCTCGGAGACAAAACAATACAAATCAACGGTTCGGGCCTCTTCGGGCCCTCTCGGGACGCCTCTCGCGAGTCTCTTGGGGCCTCTCGGAAGCCTTCTGGTTAACGCTTCGGCGATCCTGGGAGCCTGGAAAGCCGTCGGAAGGCTCTCTTGGGCTGCTTGGCAGCGTCTTGGGCGTTCAGGGGGCTCTTTGGGGACGTCTCGGGCCGTCCTGGGGCGCTTCGGGGCCTCCCTGGGAGGCTCGGGGGCGCGATGCAAAGACTGCCCCCCAGATGTTCCCGAGGCGTGGGGCGCTCCTGGGGGATGGGGGGGGGGTCGGGTATTTGTCACGCGCCTAAATATGAACACATTTACATATACATATACAGATCCATCTGCATGTATACTGACATATGCACGCATATACATATGCACATCCATGTACATATGCACGCGCACGTACAACTACATACACATGCACATGTGCATATGCACACATATCTACATATAGATAATTATATACATATGTGGTATGAGTTTGTGTATGTGTATAAACGTATACATATACGCGCTAGAACCATCGCGCGCGCTTCGCGCGCGCTTTGGTCCTAGCCGAGATCGCGGCAAGGCCCTGGCAGAAGTATCAAGGCAGCCCTTTTCTTATGTGTATGTGTGCATACATATATCTGTCCGTCCTTCTCCTCCTCCTCCTCCTTCTCCTTCTTTTCTTCTCCCTCCTCCTTCGCCCTCTTCCTCCTCCTCGTCGCCTGTCTCTTTCCTCTGTTTCCTTAATTCCCTTCCTTCTCCTCCACCACCTCCTCCTCCCTCGCTTGCTTCTGCTCCTCCTGCGCGTTCTTCTCCTCCTCTTCTTCCCTCTCCTCCTTTTCCTCCCCCTCCTCCTCCTCCTCCTCCTCCTCAATATCCTCTGCCCTTCCTCCTCCTCCTCCTCCCCCCCCCCTTCCCTGGTCCGGGCGCCCCCCGATCCGGGCGCCCTCCCCGGTCCGGATACCTTTGAGAACCATAGGCCCCGCGACCCTTGAAGTCGGCCCCCGGAGTCCTCCGAATCCTTCGGCCCCTGGGCGCTCCTGACCTCTAGGGTCGAAGATCCTCAATCGCGGCCCCGCGACCCATCGGCTTCCGAGACTCTTCGGCCCCGCGACCCGCGGAGTGACGAGGAGGGGTACGCGGCATAAGCAAGGGGGAGAGATGGGGAAGTCGAGGGGAAGCAGGGGGAGGCGGAGGAAGAAGAGGGAGAGGAACAGGAATAGGAGGAAGAGCAGCCAGAGGAGGAGGATCAGAGGAAGGAGGAGGAGGGGGAAGGGCCGCCAAGGAAGGGTCGGGCGCTTGAGCAAGGGAATGGGATTTATGTTCCCGGGAGTCTTCCTGGGAACATCTTGCGCGACAGGAGGAGGGGGATCCCGAGAAAGAAGAGGGGGGGAACGAGAAGGAGGATAATATCGGTGAGGTGGACAAAGGGAGGCACGCGGAATTATATTCCCGGGAAGCTCCCCGAGAACATATTTCGTGACAGCAGGAGGAGGAGCCCGGGAAGGAGGAGGAGGACAGAAACGAGGGGGAGGGCTAGAGCAGGAGGAGGAATCTCGAGAAGGAGGAGGAGGGGGAGGAGGAGAAAGAGGAGGGGGAGGAGCAGGAGGATGAGAAGGACGAGGTGGACAGACACGCAGGACAAGGTGAGCGGCAGGAAGAGGAGGAGGAGCAGGACGAGCAGGACATAAGGAGCGGGCGGAAGGGAAGGAGGGTGAGGAGGAGAAGAAGGGGAGCGGGAGGAAGGGAGGTTCAGGAGGAGCAGGAGGAGGTAGAAGAAGGACAGGGGGAGGTGCAGGAGTAGCATGAAGAGCAGCCGCAGCAGGAGGAGGACATGGGAAGACAGACGAAGGGGCAGGGTGGCGAATAACAAAAGAAACACTCGAACGCAAGCAAAGAAATTATGTTCCCGGCAGGCGTCCCGGGGACATATTTCGAGAGACCGGGAGAGAGCTCCACAAGCAGGGGGGTGAGAAGGAGGAGAAGGGGGGCGGGGGGAGGGGGAAGGGGGAGGTGCGGGAGTAACATGAAGAGCAGCCGCAGCAGGCGGAGGATCAGGGAATGACGATGGAGCAGGGCGGCGAAGAACAAACAACAATTCTCGAGGAATGCTGTTCCTGGCAATTCCCGGACTATATTTATATTTCCTGAGACCGGGAGAGAGCTCGACAACCAGAAGAAAAGAGGAGCAGGAAGGTTATAAGGCGGACGAGAAGCAGGGTGAGACGCAGTTGTTCAAGCCTCGTGGGGTATGTTTTGGTCAATCTCGGGGCCTTTTTTGGCCTCTTGGGCGGCCTGGGCATGTTGAGGGCCTCTGCGAGCTTCTTTTTTCACCTCTCGGGGTCCGTGTCGGAACTCCTTTGGACCGTTTTCGGTGCCTCTTGTGCCGTCTTGGGGCCCTCTTGGGACGTCGTGGGGGCCGCTTGGAGCTCTCTGGGGCCGCCTTGGTGCGGTGTAGGAGGCGTCGTGGGCCGTCTTGGAGCGCTCTGGGGCTGGTTCTGGGCCTCCGTCCGAAGGTCAACAAGAGGTCAGGGGTCGCCACTGGCGCCTCGGAGGCCCTGGAACGCCGAAACCCTGTAAAAATAGCGGAAGTGGGCCCCGGAGCCCCCATGGAGGGCGCAAGCACACTCCAGGCGGCCCCGATCCTCTTCCGCCGGCACATATATATATATATATATATATGTATATATATATATATATATATATATATGTAGAATGATCAAACTATAGACATGTATATATATATATATATATATATATATATATATGTATAGATAAATCGATCAATCGATTGAATTATATATAAATATGTATATATATATATATATCGATCCGTGTGTGCAAATGTATACGTATTACTCGTTGTGTATCTCTTATGGTGCAAACAATTTATCGATCGATCGCACTATCTATCCATTGGTACGAACGCCGGGATAACCATCTGAACAGCCAACGGGGCAACCGCTTAGACAACAAACTACCTGCCAATATGGTTATACTTGTATGCGTCGGTCTGACTACATGTAGGTCATACTATCTATCTACGGATCTCACAGTCGGGGAAACCACTTTGACAACCATCGGGACAACTATCGGGACAACCATCAAGACAACTATTGCGACAATCTTCGGGACTACCATCGGGACAATCATCGGGACAACCATTGGGACAACCATCGGGACAACCATCAGGACAACCATCGGACAATCATCAGGACAACCATCGGGACAACCAATCAGACAATCGTCGCGACAAGCATCGGGACAACCATCGCGACAACCATCGGGACAACCATCGTCACAATCACATCCACTGGGACAAACATCGAAACAACCATGTGGACAATTATCTGCCATCGGGACAAACACCTCCATCAGGACACCCACCGGGACAACCCTGGCGACAAGCATCGGCACAAGCATCGGAACAACTATTGGGGCAGCACTCGGGACGACCATCGGAAACAAACAAAACATCGTGACAGCCATCGGAAAAATCCTTGGAATATTCATCGGGACAACATCAGAACGGTCATCAGGACAACAATCGGGACAACCATCGGGACCACTATCGGACGACCATCGGGAGAACCATCGGGACAACCATCGAGACAACCATCGGGACAACAATCGGAACATCATTCATCAAGACAACCATCGGGACAACCAACGGGACAACCGTCGTGACAACTATCGGGACAACCATCGGGAAAACCATCGGGACAACCGTCGGGACAACCGTCTGGAGAACCATCGGAACAACCATCGGGACAACCCGGGAACCACGGCCAAGACCCACGCCGCAACATGTTGGTCTGACTCGCCCCCTACTACGGCAAGAACTCGTGCAGCTTCGACTCACCCGGCACGCACGCAAGTCACGCACGAAATGAAACGAGTCCCAGGTTGGGGCACCTCACGCTGTACTTCGGTGTCGCCTCCAACCTCGGATCGCACCCCCTCTTGCTCTCTTCGTTCGAGAAAAGGCGAGCAGCGGCAGCGACACATCAGCGGACTGACACACACACACACATCTCATTCCAAGAGCTGGCACTGGGATTAAGTCGGGCGTGTCACCCTACAGGGGGATTTTCGACGAAAAATAAAACATACCCAACACCCAACAAAATACCCCTAAATGGTCAATTAATGATAGAAAAATCGTCCTCATATCATTTTTTTGCTATTTCTGAATGTTTCTCCTGTAGGGGGACGGGCCCGACTTAACACTGGGACAAAGGCGAGTGAACAACTTGCTGAACTGTTACAGCGGATCACGGCGACCACAGACCTAAGCTGTATGTGTCTTGCTGAAACTATGGGACGGCCAAGTTTGATCACGTTAGAAGAAAAAGAAGAAGCGCCATAAACATAAACTTTTGGCTCTCCGCGCAGTTTTCTTGGAGCTGCGCTTGACCCCCCTCCCTGTCGCGCGGAGCGCGCCAGGGGCGGCGCCGGAGGCGCCGCCGGGGGGGCCCAGCGCGGACCTAAGAAATCCGCGCGGAGCGCCAACAGTATATGTTTATGTCCTTTTTTCTTGATCGAATGCACTCGAATACGTACCCCAGAATACGGCGTCACGTCAGGCGGCTTGTTTTGCCAGATGGGCAGCGCCAGATATCGATCTGGCTCGACGAGCTCCCGTGGCTCCCCCGCCCCAGGGGAACCCTGGGAGCTCGTCAAGCCTTCCTTCTGTGGACGTGCGCGCTCCACTGCTCGCAAAGTGGCTCCGCGCCAATGCCTGGATCCGCCGCAGGGGCTTTACGATCTCTCTATATATAAATATGTATGTCTGTCTGTCTGTCTGTCTGTCTGTCTGTCTGTCTGTCTGTCTGTCTGTCTGTCTGTCTGTCTGTCTGTCTGTCTGTCTGTCTGTCTGTCTGTCTGTATGTATGTATGTATGTATGTATGTATGTATGTATGTATGTATGTGTATATGCATGCATGCATGCATGCATGTATGTATGTATGTATGTATGTATGTATGTATGTATGTATGTATGTATGTATGTATGTATGTGTGTATATATATATATGTATATTGCACCGAGGCGGACGCATGGCTTGGCGGATGTCTGCGAGCAGGCGCCCCTTGCGAGCAACCCAGGAGCGCGCCCGGCGCCCCCGGGGATGCGGCGGAGCGGCGCGGGCCCCCGCGGCTGAAGAGCTCCAGGGCGTCGTCGTCGTTCAGCACCTTGATCCTCCCTCCCCCTCCTCCTCCTCCTCCCCCTCCTCCTCCCCCTCCTCCCCTCCTCCTCCTCCTCCTCCTCCTCCCTCCTCCTCCTCCTCCTCCTCCTCCGCCTCCTCCTCCTCCTCCTCCCCCCCCAGGGCGTCGTCGTCGTTCAGCACCTTGATCGTCTCGGCCAGGGCGAGGAGCTCCTCGCCGCGGGTCTTCACGCGCGCCTCGTACTCGGCGTCCTTCGTGGAGCAGCCCGCCCTCAGGTCGGCGAGCATCTCCTTGTCCTCCAGGAGGCTGCCGGCGGTGTCCTCGAAGTCTGCCTTCTGAGGGGGCCCTGGGACACACAAATAAACAGACACAAATAACAGGATCCCCCTATATTTTCCTACATTTGCTGGGTTTTCGTCTTTCCCCCCGTGTCCCATATTTTCCCATATTTTCCGGGGAGTCGACAATTAATGGTGTCTGTGTGGTTCTCCTGACCTTCATCTGAACGATGGATACGCCGAGCTCTCCAACGAGGGCGAGCTTCTGCTCGATGGAGGCAGTCAGTACACCAATCTCCTTCTTCTTCGCAGCGACCAGCGCTTCGTGCTCCTTGACGGCAGCTGCCTCCGCGTCCTCTGCTGCCTTCAGCGACTTCATGAAGTCATCGCCCATTTGCTTCAGTATCCCCGTGACCTCACCGCTCTGAGGGGCGTATGAAGCCCGGCCCGAGAGGAAGGACATGACAACCTCTTTGTCGTCGTCGCCGATCTCGGCCTTCTCCACGATCTTGCGCAGTGCGGAGGCGGACGAGCGCCCCTGCAAGAAGCTGCCAGTCATGCCCTTCTCCAGAGACGCCACCGCCGAGGAGATCTGCGAGAGGTACTCCTCCAACGTGGCTTTGGTCTCGGCGAACGCCTTTGCGGCCCCCTCCCGGATCGACTCCGCGGAGGCGACGGCCGCCTTGGCCTCCTCGCGCTCCTTCTGCGCGTCCTCCAGGGTCTTCTTGGTCTGGACGAGCTTCTCCTCCCCCCCCTTGATGGCGGCCTCCAGCTCCGGGGCCGCGTTGCCCGCGGCGTCGACGCGGGACTCGAGCTCGCCCACGCCGGACTTGCAGTAGCACTTGAATTTGGAGTACAGCTCCTCCTCTTTGCTCCCCTCGGCTTCAACCTTCTTCTGCATGTTCTGCAGAAGGGTCACAACCTTGCGGACAGGATTGGCAGCCGCCTGCACAGCAGAGCGCTGCTTCGAAGCGATGCACACTTGTAGGCAGAGCGCCAGAGTTGCTGCCACGCGTGCGGGCATCGCCATCCTTAACACTTCAATGAGTCTGATACGTGACAGTTCAGCTGCGATGATCCAGCAATGCTGTTTGACCAAAGAGGCCACAGAGGGGGAATGATCATCGCAACAGAGGGAGCAGGAGTTGGAGGAGGCGAGGAAGGAAACACAGACCCGGAAGGCGACTACGACAACATTCGTTCATTTTTGGACTGGCTGCCAAGAGCCATCGTGGGGTCCTTTGGGGTGACTCTGGGGCACCTTGGATGCAGTCCGGGTCCGCCCTAGGGGGTTCCTGGAACGAAATCTGCTTCAACGACGCATGCGAAAGACCCAAAAGTTTCAATGCTTCGGCCTCCCTAAGGCCTCCCAACGAATACTTTGGGGATGCTCCAGGGGCGTATGAGAACTTTCCGACCCACCTCGGGTGCCCCATGACGCGCTCCAAGACTCCTCAGTCTGAAGTGACTATGGTAAGTCAAATAGCATCCGATTCCATGGGAAGCGGATGGCACATAGCGTCCAATGCCATGCTGGGGTAGTTCAGTATGGGGAGTGGACGGATAAGATAGGATAAAATCGATGTAATGATCTTTCCATCACATAGCGAACACCAGCAGTGTCCGGGCAAATAGGGCGCGCGTGCCTTGAGCCAAAGGCAACGGCGCGCGAGCTATACTCCCGATCCTATATAACATCTCCCAAAGAGCTACCCTTAAAGTCGGGAGGGGAGGAGACGGTGAGTATAGCCGCGCAGCCGTTAGGCTCCACAAAGGCCGCGCGCACGACTGTTTGCAAGAAAAACAGTACGTACAGTCTGGCCTAACACCAGACTGTAAGGCGAGTTTCCTCGCAAAGTATTTTCACGCATACGCAAGATAGCCCCTTGGACATCAAAGGGCTATCGGCCCGGCGAGAGGTAAGCCAAACAGGCTATACCTCCCCGAGCAAAAGGGTATTAAATCGAGCTGAACAGGCTCGTTACCAAGCGTGAAAAATAAGGCTCGTTCCCGAGCAACTAGGAGGGCGCCTCTTTATTAGGCGCCCGTGCTGGCAGACTGGACCGCGGGGGCAACAAGGACAGACAAAAACTGATTTGACTTAGGCTTGTTTCTGTCCTCGGGACCCCGAAAGGGAACAAACTGCTTCACGTCATACTTAAACGACTGAGTGCCTGACATCACCTCCAAAAGCAGCTCCCGATCGATACTCCCCTTGGTAGGCCCATCTGCGGTCATGTCTCTAGTATCACACCACTGTGCGTTATGCACTATACCTATATCCATGAGCTCACGTATCCAACTGATCTGTCCCAGCAAAATCCGTTCCGTCGGTATCTTAAGATCTTTGCTGGATAGCGATTTATATACAGACTCAGCGTCTATAGTAAGGGATACTTTAATGGCTAGGCCTCCAACTTCACGCATATCACGTAGTTGTCGTGGAGTAAGTGCCCCTGCCTTAAGCTCGTGGAGAGTGATGAGCGTGGGATAACATTCACCAAGGTTGTGTGCAGCTGCAAGTGCCTCAGCGGCATAGCTGGATCTCACCTGCAGTCGGTGTGATTTGCATAGTCCGTCGCAAAGGTGGATAGCTGACTTGCCTTGAGGCGAGTTTCCTCGCCGTAATACGTTAGCCCGACGGATGCCGTAGCCCTTGGTCTCATCGTCTTCCTCCCCGGTGAGCTTCCGATACCCCGAATCACTGTGTATGTCTACTTCGTTCGTCGGTTTCATCCGAGGGAAGGTGATGCGTTTCGGGCTGCTGATCAGCCTTCGCGTCGCAGCATTCAGTCGTCTGACTTGTAAGTTAGCGGGCTCTTGGATCTTCTGGAGAGAGACCACGCGCACCATATGCCAGACTTGAGTAAGGAGGGCATAGGCGAGAGCTCCTCGCAGGCTAACGAACATATCGGTGATGAGTTTGGTAGCTTTGGCGTCAGCGGCCGCTCCCGTGAGTTCAGGGTGTGTGATAGGACGTAGTTGTTTAATGTACTCGTCTTGATCCGTGATCACATCCCCTTGTTCATTCTTAGTGTAGCGAACGGCGCAGTTCGTATAATAATGTTTGTTGAGCTTGCATTTGCCAAACACCTGTTCGACACGTTGTACATAGTCATCTACTTTTTCTCTAGGCCTGTCATGTTGATATCGTCGACATGTTTTGCCGTTAACAGATCTTGACTGAATTCAAACTCAGGATCGTAACTTGTCGGTGCGAGGCCTATAGCTCGTGTGGTCGTACGAAGCTTGAGGGGGAACGCTCTTGGGGCGCCCTTTGCGCCCGTCCCTGGCTTGAGGCACCTGAGGCAATGTCGGCTCTCATCGTAAGAAGAGAAGCCTGGTAGTGTCCGAAGCACCTGGGCGCTCCCTGGTGGAAGAGCGAAGCAAACCGTGCGAGTTTCCTCGCCGGTGGCATGAGCAAGTTCCTCATAGGTCAGACCTTTGAGGAGCGCTTTGTCGATATCCATAGATGCTAAGATCCATTCTGGATGACATGCCGCCTCACTTGCCAGGAGCCTCTGGGACTGTCTTCGAGCAATTCCTGAGCAGGTTTCTACATCAAACGCCTCCGTGTCCATGAATCCGCGAAGGACATGTCTGAGACGGATGGTTTTGACATTCTCGGTGCTTACCTTCACGAACTTCCACTTGTATACATATCTGGATGTCATGATGTTGGAAGCTTTAGATAGGTCATACATCTCAAAGCACCGGTTATCAAGCCAGATCTGGAGGTCGGTGTACAAAGCACCACTAACCTCTTTAGGGTGTGCTGTTATATCGGCTTTGGTGAGCAGGTCGTCTTCTTTGACTGCCACAGCACGTTTAGCAGCCGATGATACATATACTCTCATCGTTGCGACTATATCGGTTTTAAGTTGTGCAAGTTGGGTCTGGTCCAACACTACCTTTGACATTTCTGGTGTGAAACATAACTCAACATACGGACCATGTTCATCACTGTCAAGAGAATAGCCCTCGTCAGATGTAGTCGAGCATAGAGAAATAAGACAGGGCTCTTGTGGTTCAGGCTCGTCTCCGAGCATTTCCGACGCTGTGATATCTTCCTCGTCCACGGATGCTGAGACCAGAACACATTGGTCAGGCAGCATAGTTGATGGGGCGCAGTAGATATGATCGTGGGTAACCGTTGTGGGATGAAGGTCCATACGTAGTTCATCGTACCACTCCTCCATCATCATAGCCTCGATGTCATGTTCTTCATTTTCTTCGTAGATTGTAGACAGGCGACCTTCACTTGGTGATGAAACACCTGGGGCGTCTGGTGGAGGCCTGTCTCCAGGCTGGTCGTGTTCTCCAGACGTTGTGGCCAAGTGCTGATACTTGGCAAGGTCGTCATGAAATCCTAAGGAAAGAACATGTGACGTCAGGCACTGGATGAGTCTGGAGTGAGTGCTACCAGTGATTTGAGAGATGTTTAGGCCGGTGCCCACACACTCATAACAATGGAAGGCTGGGTTGACATCGTTGTCGTAGTGGATCAATGTAGACCCGGTGGCGTACTTTACTGCAGATAAATTAGACATGTTCTTGGCCAATCTCACGGCTACTACACGTTCAACTCGGAAATAATTTCGCACGAGATACTGTAGTGCAAGATGTACGCGCGGGTGGAACTTGCTGTCGTCCGACAGATTGAGGTTTCCCTTGTAGTCTGGGATATAGCCAAAGACTTTGGCAGGTTTCCCTGCACCAAGGTGTGCCACATATGTAAGGACGGTTAGCATGGCCATGTTGTCCATGCCAAGTTCCCTGGTAAGGAGGCACTCAACGTATAGCGTGTGGCGAGCATCATGATACATTACAATTACCTCATGTGATCCTGCCTTGACGACGACGTGTCCTCGTTCAGGCACGTTACGGATCACAGGAAACGGGCCATTCCAGCCTCCATGATCGTCCTTAGTGGCTGTAGGTCGGTGATAATCGACCAAGTCCCCTGATGAGTAAAGGCGAGCACCATCTGGGGCCGTCTTAGCCCTGAGAGCACGATTTGTCTTAGCTACCGCCGTGGCTTGAGTTATTGCTTCCAAGCTAACTTCCCTCACACGGCGTTCTCGTTCGTGGCCTGACGTCTCGGGCCCCTTAGGGAAGTCAGGGTTGTCGAGGTCAGGAAGAGAGGAGGGCTGTCGCCCAGTGTGTGCTTGGTATGGCGATACTCCGTTGTAAAACGTGAAAGCGTTGGTGACGAAGATGCCTTCAGCCAATACTCTAGTAAATACAACAGGGATATTGTGTCTGTTCGGCTCTTCCTCAATCATATGGAGAGTGGCCCTAAGAATGCCGTTGCGTGACTCGATCGAGGTCGCGTGTTGGCCAGGCGCTCGGATACGAAGTGTCGTACCCTTGTTCGCCATCATGGCCTTGGCAGTGTCTTTCTTGAGGGCGCCTTCTCCATCTGAGTACAAGACTTTGAAGGGTCCACGATAGGCAATCCAGCAGTAGTGGTAAGCGTCGAGTATAGTGTCACGTTCTCTATCAGAAATCTCTTGGCCTGCTGCCAGGCGAATACATCGGTCCATAATATGAAATATGGTTCGTTTCATGTAAAACATGAGATCTACTTCGCCTTCGTCAAGCCAATGTCCAGGAAGGCTTACGGAAGGTAGCGTAGACTTTCCTGGACGCTCCCATGCTCTACATTCCCGACATGTGTCACATATTTCTTTGATCATATTTAGTCGAACGTTGTCCAGTCCCACTTTGTCTAGGATCAGCCTCATCTTGGGTTCCTTCGCATGGTGCCACCGCAAGTGTAGTTTACGGAGTTCCTTTTTGACTACGTGAGGTTCGTGACTACGGAGGTTTTGCAGGCTGTGTTGGATGTCGAATCTCGTCCAGTCGGGCAGTCGTGGAGCCCCCGAGCCGGTTGAGGCAAGAGGGTTCCTTGTAGCTCTCCGCAGTCGGTCTCCTTCGTCAACTGCATCTGGTGGTGGTGGTGCGCCTTGTAGGCGGCCGCGGCAGGCCGCTACTTGTGGCGGCTCGCCTGAAGACGCGGAAGGCGTGTTTCCACGCTCGGGCGCGTCTCGCAGTATATCGTAACTGCTAGCGCCAGATGTCGGA